TGCAACACACTGTCTCTTTCTGCAACACACTTTCTCTTTCTGCAACACACTTTCTCTTTCTGCAACACACTGTCTCTAACTGCAACACACTGTCTCTTTCTGCAACACACTGTCTCTTTCTGCAACACACTCTCTCTAACTGCAACACACTGTCTCTTTCTGCAACACACTGTCTCTTTCTGCAACACACTGTCTCTTTCTGCAACACACTTTCTCTTTCTGCAACACACTCTCTCTAACTGCAACACACTGTCTCTTTCTGCAACACACTCTCTCTAACTGCAACACACTGTCTCTTTCTGCAACACACTGTCTCCTTCTGCAACACACTGTCTCTTTCTGCAACACACTTTCTCTTTCTGCAACACACTTTCTCTTTCTGCAACACACTGTCTCTAACTGCAACACACTGTCTCTTTCTGCAACACACTGTCTCTTTCTGCAACACACTCTCTCTAACTGCAACACACTGTCTCTTTCTGCAACACACTGTCTCTTTCTGCAACACACTGTCTCTTTCTGCAACACACTTTCTCTTTCTGCAACACACTCTCTTTAACTGCAACACACTGTCTCTTTCTGCAACACACTCTCTCTAACTGCAACACACTGTCTCTTTCTGCAACACACTGTCTCTTTCTGCAACACACTGTCTCTTTCTGCAACACACTTTCTCTTTCTGCAACACACTTTATCTTTCTGCAACACACTCTCTCTTTCTGCAACACACTGTTTCTTTCTGCAACACACTCTCTCTAACTGCACCACACTTTCTCTTTCTGCAACACACTGTCTCTTTCTGCAACACACTCTCTCTAACTGCAACACACTTTCTCTTTCTGCAACACACTGTCTCTAACTGCAACACACTGTCTCTTTCTGCAACACACTGTCTCTTTCTGCAACACACTCTCTCTAACTGCAACACACTCTCTCTTTCTGCAACACACTGTCTCTAACTGCAACACACTCTCTCTTTCTGCAACACACTCTCTCTAACTGCAACACACTGTCTCTTTCTGCAACACACTCTCTCTAACTGCAACACACTCTCTCTAACTGCAACACACTCTCTCTTTCTGCAACACACTGTCTCTTTCTGCAACACACTGTCTCTTTCTGCAACACACTCTCTCTTTCTGCAACACACTTTCTCTTTCTGCAACACACCTATTAAAAATACCAAACACATTGTGTGACAGTAAACACTGAGACACACACTTGACTTACAAAATGCAACTTTGGTGGATCTCGATCAATCATGACCTCACAACGAGGGAAGCAGAGTCCAGCTACAGTCTACTGCAGAAGACTGTAGTACTGCAGTGTGTGTGTGTGTGTGTGTGTGTGTGTATATATGTATATATGTGTGTGTGTGTGTGTGTGTGGATGTGTGTGTGTGTGAGTGTGTGGGTGTACATGTGTGTGGATGTGTGTGTGTGTGTGTGTGTGTGTGTGTGTGTTTCTGAGTGTGTGTGTGTGTATGTGTGTGTGTGTGTGTGTGTGTGTGTACATGTGTGTGGATGTGTGTGTGTGTTGACTGTAATTAATGGTTGGAGCCGTAGTGCGTTGAATGCAGTTAAATCGGACATGAGTAAGTCTGAGTGCTTTGATAAGAACATGTCTCACTGTTCTCTGTCGTACTGTGTCTTTAAGTCTGAGTGCTTTGATAAGAACATGTCTCACTGTTCTCTGTCGTACTGTGCCTTTAAGTCTGAGTGCTTTGATAAGAACATGTCTCACTGTTCTCTGTCGTACTGTGTCTTTAAGTCTGAGTGCTTTGATAAGAACATGTCTCACTGTTCTCTGTCGTACTGTGTCTTTAAGTCTGAGTGCTTTGATAAGAACATGTCTCACTGTTCTCTGTCGTATTGTGCCTTTAAGTCTGAGTGCTTTGATAAGAACATGTCTCACTGTTCTCTGTCGTACTGTGTCTTTAAGTCTGAGTGCTTTGATAAGAACATGTTTCACTGTTCTCTGTCGTACTGTGCCTTTAAGTCTGAGTGCTTTGATAAGAACATGTCTCACTGTTCTCTGTCGTATTGTGCCTTTAAGTCTGAGTGCTTTGATAAGAACATGTCTCACTGTTCTCTGTCGTACTGTGTCTTTAAGTCTGAGTGCTTTGATAAGAACATGTCTCACTGTTCTCTGTCGTACTGTGTCTTTAAGTCTGAGTGCTTTGATAAGAACATGTCTCACTGTTCTCTGTCGTACTGTGTCTTTAAGTCTGAGTGCTTTGATAAGAACATGTCTCACTGTTCTCTGTTGTACTGTGTCTTTAAGTCTGAGTGCTTTGATAAGAACATGTCTCACTGTTCTCTGTCGTACTGTGTCTTTAAGTCTGAGTGCTTTGATAAGAACATGTCTCACTGTTCTCTGTCGTACTGTGCTTTAAGTCTGAGTGCTTTGATAAGAACATGTCTCACTGTTCTCTGTCGTACTGTGCCTTTAAGTCTGAGTGCTTTGATAAGAACATGTCTCACTGTTCTCTGTCGTACTGTGTCTTTAAGTCTGAGTGCTTTGATAAGAACATGTCTCACTGTTCTCTGTCGTACTGTGCCTTTAAGTCTGAGTGCTTTGATAAGAACATGTCTCACTGTTCTCTGTCGTACTGTGCCTTTAAGTCTGAGTGCTTTGATAAGAACATGTCTCACTGTTCTCTGTCGTACTGTGTCTTTAAGTCTGAGTGCTTTGATAAGAACATGTCTCACTGTTCTCTGTCGTACTGTGTCTTTAAGTCTGAGTGCTTTGATAAGAACATGTCTCACTGTTCTCTGTCGTACTGTGTCTTTAAGTCTGAGTGCTTTGATAAGAACATGTCTCACTGTTCTCTGTCGTACTGTGTCTTTAAGTCTGAGTGCTTTGATAAGAACATGTCTCACTGTTCTCTGTCGTACTGTGCCTTTAAGTCTGAGTGCTTTGATAAGAACATGTCTCACTGTTCTCTGTCGTACTGTGCCTTTAAGTCTGAGTGCTTTGATAAGAACATGTCTCACTGTTCTCTGTCGTACTGTGCCTTTAAGTCTGAGTGCTTTGATAAGAACATGTCTCACTGTTCTCTGTCGTACTGTGTCTTTAAGTCTGAGTGCTTTGATAAGAACATGTCTCACTGTTCTCTGTCGTACTGTGCCTTTAAGTCTGAGTGCTTTGATAAGAACATGTCTCACTGTTCTCTGTCGTACTGTGCCTTTAAGTCTGAGTGCTTTGATAAGAAACATGTCTCACTGTTCTCTGTCTGTACTGTGCCTTTAAGTCTGAGTGCTTTGATAAGAACATGTCTCACTGTTCTCTGTCGTACTGTGTCTTTAAGTCTGAGTGCTTTGATAAGAACATGTCTCACTGTTCTCTGTCGTACTGTGTCTTTAAGTCTGAGTGCTTTGATAAGAACATGTCTCACTGTTCTCTGTTGTACTGTGCCTTTAAGTCTGAGTGCTTTGATAAGAACATGTCTCACTGTTCTCTGTCGTACTGTGCCTTTAAGTCTGAGTGCTTTGATAAGAACATGTCTCACTGTTCTCTGTCGTACTGTGTCTTTAAGTCTGAGTGCTTTGATAAGAACATGTCTCACTGTTCTCTGTCGTACTGTGCCTTTAAGTCTGAGTGCTTTGATAAGAACATGTCTCACTGTTCTCTGTCGTACTGTGCCTTTAAGTCTGAGTGCTTTGATAAGAACATGTTTCACTGTTCTCTGTCGTACTGTGCCTTTAAGTCTGAGTGCTTTGATAAGAACATGTCTCACTGTTCTCTGTCGTACTGTGCCTTTAAGTCTGAGTGCTTTGATAAGAACATGTCTCACTGTTCTCTGTCGTACTGTGTCTTTAAGTCTGAGTGCTTTGATAAGAACATGTCTCACTGTTCTCTGTCGTACTGTGCCTTTAAGTCTGAGTGCTTTGATAAGAACATGTCTCACTGTTCTCTGTCGTACTGTGTCTTTAAGTCTGAGTGCTTTGATAAGAACATGTCTCACTGTTCTCTGTCGTACTGTGCCTTTAAGTCTGAGTGCTTTGATAAGAACATGTCTCACTGTTCTCTGTCGTACTGTGCCTTTAAGTCTGAGTGCTTTGATAAGAACATGTCTCACTGTTCTCTGTCGTACTGTGTCTTTAAGTCTGAGTGCTTTGATAAGAACATGTCTCACTGTTCTCTGTCGTACTGTGTCTTTAAGTCTGAGTGCTTTGATAAGAACATGTCTCACTGTTCTCTGTCGTACTGTGTCTTTAAGTCTGAGTGCTTTGATAAGAACATGTCTCACTGTTCTCTGTTGTACTGTGCCTTTAAGTCTGAGTGCTTTGATAAGAACATGTCTCACTGTTCTCTGTCGTACTGTGTCTTTAAGTCTGAGTGCTTTGATAAGAACATGTCTCACTGTTCTCTGTCGTACTGTGTCTTTAAGTCTGAGTGCTTTGATAAGAACATGTCTCACTGTTCTCTGTTGTACTGTGCCTTTAAGTCTGAGTGCTTTGATAAGAGCATGTCTCACTGTTCTCTGTCGTACCGTGTCTTTAAGTCTTAGTGCTTTGATAAGAACATGTCTCACTGTTCTCTGTCGTACTGTGTCTTTAAGTCTGAGTGCTTTGATAAGAACATGTCTCACTGTTCTCTGTTGTACTGTGCCTTTAAGTCTGAGTGCTTTGATAAGAGCATGTCTCACTGTTCTCTGTCGTACTGTGTCTTTAAGTCTGAGTGCTTTGATAAGAACATGTCTCACTGTTCTCTGTCGTACTGTGTCTTTAAGTCTGAGTGCTTTGATAAGAACATGTCTCACTGTTCTCTGTCGTACTGTGTCTTTAAGTCTGAGTGCTTTGATAAGAACATGTCTCACTGTTCTCTGTCGTACTGTGCCTTTAAGTCTGAGTGCTTTGATAAGAACATGTCTCACTGTTCTCTGTCGTACTGTGTCTTTAAAGCTCTCCTTCTTGGAGGAAACGCCACGTCTCCGCCGCGTGACGTACTAATATAATAATTGATGGCGGTGTGTAAACGGCGTATGTAGTCCGTGTATGGTCTGCCACACGTCTGTGCACTCTGGACGTGGCTAGAATGTCAAACAGCCGTAAACTTATTCACGGTTCAATATTTTCCCGCTCCCACGTCGACCACACGCTCAGAAAATATATCTGTGATTTATCGAGCTGTTCTGAGCCCGAGGCTGGAGCTTTACTAATGATCAACGTTTAACTAGATCCACACGGGTCTGTGGAAAAACACAGACACAGACCGACACAGACCGACGCAGACCGACGCAGACCGACACAGGCCCACACAGACCGACACAGGCCGACGCAGACCGACACAGACCGACGCAGACCGACACAGGCCGACGCAGACCGACACAGGCCGACGCAGACCGACACAGGCCGACGCAGACCGACACAGGCCGACGCAGACCGACACAGGCCCGACGCAGGCCGACACAGACCCGACGCAGGCCGACACAGACCCACACAGACCGACGCAGACCGACACAGGCCGACGCAGACCGACACAGACCGACACAGGCCGACGCAGATTGACGCAGGCCGACACAGACCCACACAGACCGACGCAGACCGACACAGACCGACGCAGACCGACGCAGACCGACACAGGCCGACGCAGACCGACGCAGGCCGACACAGACCCACACAGACCGACGCAGACCGACACAGACCGACACAGACCGACGCAGACCGACACAGGCCGACGCAGACCGACACAGGCCGACGCAGACCGACACAGGCCGACGCAGACCGACACAGGCCCGACGCAGGCCGACACAGACCCGACGCAGGCCGACACAGACCCACACAGACCGACGCAGACCGACACAGGCCGACGCAGACCGACACAGGCCGACACAGACCCACACAGACCGACGCAGACCGACACAGACCCACACAGGCCGACGCAGACCGACACAGGCCGACGCAGACCGACGCAGGCCGACACAGACCCACACAGACCGACGCAGACCGACACAGACCGACGCAGACCGACGCAGACCGACACAGGCCGACGCAGACCGACGCAGGCCGACACAGACCCACACAGACCGACGCAGACCGACACAGACCGACACAGGCCCGACGCAGGCCGACACAGACCCACACAGACCGACGACGCAGACCCGACACAGACCGACACAGACCCACACAGACCGACACAGACCCACACAGACCGACACAGACCCACACAGACCGACGCAGACCGACACAGACCGACACAGACCCACACAGACCCACACAGGCCGACACAGACCCACACAGACCGACACAGACCCACACAGACCCACACAGGCCGACACAGACCCACACAGACCGACGCAGACCGACACAGACCGACGCAGACCGACGCAGACCGACACAGGCCGACGCAGGCCCGACCCAGGCCGACACAGACCCACACAGACCGACGCAGACCCACACAGGCCGACGCAGACCGACGCAGGCCGACACAGACCCACACAGACCGACGCAGACCGACACAGACCCACACAGACCGACGCAGACCGACACAGACCGACGCAAACCGACACAGGCCGACACAGGCCGACACAGACCGACGCAGCCGGCCGACACAGACCCACACAGACCCACACAGACCGACACAGACCGACGCAGACCGACGCAGACCGACACAGGCCGACACAGACCGACACAGGCCGACGCAGACCGACACAGCCGACGCAGACCGACACAGGCCGACGCAGACCGACACAGGCCGACGCAGACCGACACAGGCCGACACAGACCGACACAGGCCGACGCAGACCGACACAGGCCCGACGCAGGCCGACACAGACCCGACGCAGGCCGACACAGACCCACACAGACCGACGCAGACCGACACAGACCCACACAGGCCGACGCAGACCGACACAGGCCGACGCAGACCGACGCAGGCCGACACAGACCCACACAGACCGACGCAGACCGACACAGACCGACGCAGACCGACGCAGACCGACACAGGCCGACGCAGACCGACGCAGGCCGACACAGACCCACACAGACCGACGCAGACCGACACAGACCGACACAGGCCCGACGCAGGCCGACACAGACCCACACAGACCGACGCAGACCGACACAGACCGACACAGACCCACACAGACCGACACAGACCCACACAGACCGACACAGACCCACACAGACCGACGCAGACCCACACAGACCGACACAGACCCACACAGACCGACGCAGACCCACACAGACCCACACAGGCCGACACAGACCCACACAGACCGACACAGACCCACACAGACCCACACAGGCCGACACAGACCCACACAGACCGACGCAGACCGACACAGACCGACGCAGACCGACGCAGACCGACACAGGCCGACGCAGGCCGCACAGGCCCGACCCAGGCCGACACAGACCCACACAGACCGACGCAGACCCACACAGGCCGACGCAGACCGACGCAGGCCGACACAGACCCACACAGACCGACGCAGACCGACACAGACCCACACAGACCGACGCAGACCGACACAGACCGACGCAAACCGACACAGGCCGACACAGGCCGACACAGACCGACACAGGCCCGACGCAGGCCGACACAGACCCACACACCGACGCAGCCGACACAGACCGACGCAGACCGACGCAGACCGACACAGGCCGACGCAGACCGACACAGGCCCACACAGACCGACACAGGCCGACGCAGACCGACACAGACCGACGCAGACCGACACAGGCCGACGCAGACCGACACAGGCCGACGCAGACCGACACAGGCCGACGCAGACCGACACAGGCCGACGCAGACCGACACAGGCCCGACGCAGGCCGACACAGACCCGACGCAGGCCGACACAGACCCACACAGACCGACGCAGACCGACACAGGCCGACGCAGACCGACACAGACCGACACAGGCCGACGCAGACCGACGCAGGCCGACACAGACCCACACAGACCGACGCAGACCGACACAGGCCGACGCAGACCGACGCAGACCGACACAGACCGACACAGGCCGACGCAGACCGACGCAGGCCGACACAGACCCACACAGACCGACGCAGACCGACACAGACCGACACAGGCCCGACGCAGGCCGACACAGACCCACACAGACCGACCAGACCGACACAGACCGACACAGACCGACACAGACCGACACAGGCCGACGCAGACCGACACAGACCGACACAGACCGACACAGACCGACGCAGACCGACACAGGCCGACGCAGACCGACGCAGACCGACACAGGCCGACCAGACCGACACAGACCGACACAGACCCACACAGCCGACGCAGACCGACACAGACCCACACAGACCGACGCAGGACCGACACAGACCCACACAGGCCGACACAGACCACACAGACCGACACAGACCGACACAGACCGACACAGACCCACACAGGCCGACACAGACCCACACAGACCGACGCAGACCGACACAGACCGACGCAGACCGACGCAGACCGACACAGGCCGACGCAGGCCGACACAGGCCCGACGCAGGCCGACACAGACCCACACAGACCGACGCAGACCCACACAGGCCGACGCAGACCGACGCAGGCCGACACAGACCCACACAGACCGACGCAGACCCACACAGACCCACACAGACCGACGCAGACCGACACAGACCGACGCAAACCGACACAGGCCGACACAGGCCGACACAGACCGACACAGGCCCGACGCAGGCCGACACAGACCCACACAGACCGACGCAGACCGACACAGACCGACGCAGGCCGACACAGACCACACAGACCGACGCAGCCCACACAGACCGACACAGACCGACGCAGACCGACACAGACCGACGCAAACCGACACAGGCCCGACACAGGCCGACACAGACCGACACAGGACCGACACAGGCCGACACAGACCCACACAGACCGACGCAGACCGACACAGACCGACACAGGCCGACACAGACCGACGCAGGCCGACACAGACCGACGCAGACCGACACAGACCGACGCAGACCGACACAGCCGACACAGGCCGACACAGACCGACGCAGGCCGACACAGACCCACACAGACCGACGCAGACCGACACAGGCCGACGCAGACCGACGCAGACCGACACAGGCCGACGCAGACCGACGCAGGCCGACACAGACCCACACAGACCGACGCAGACCGACACAGACCGACACAGGCCCGACGCAGGCCGACACAGACCCACACAGACCGACGCAGACCGACACAGACCGACACAGACCCACACAGACCGACACAGACCCACACAGACCGACACAGACCCACACAGACCGACGCAGACCGACACAGACCGACACAGACCCACACAGACCCACACAGGCCGACACAGACCCACACAGACCGACACAGACCGACACAGACCCACACAGGCCGACACAGACCCACACAGACCGACACAGACCGACACAGACCCACACAGGCCGACACAGACCCACACAGACCGACGCAGACCGACACAGACCGACGCAGACCGACACAGGCCGACGCAGACCGATGCAGACCGACACAGACCGACGCAGACCAGCGCAGACCAACGCAGACCAACGCAGACCAACGCAGACCAACGCAGACCAACGCAGACCGACGCAGACCGACGCAGACCAACGCAGGCCGACGCAGGCCGACGCAGGCCGACGCAGACTGACAAAGACCGACAAAGACCGGCACAGACAAGCACAGACCCGTTTGGTTTGAGGGCAATTTTTACATTTCTCTTACATTTTATCTGTCGTTCTGTCCATGATTAATACATTACATCTGATCAGACAAAGACCAAAGAGAGAGACCAGAGAGAGACCAGAGTGAGACCAGAGAGAGACCAGAGAGAGAGACCAGAGAGGGACCAGAGAGAGACCAGAGAGAGACCAGAGTGAGACCAGAGAGAGACCAGAGAGAGAGACCAGAGAGAGACCAGAGAGAGACCAGAGAGAGAGACCAGAGAGGGACCAGAGAGAGACCAGAGAGAGACCAGAGAGAGACCAGAGAGAGAGACCAGAGTGAGACCAGAGAGAGACCAGAGAGAGAGACCAGAGTGAGACCAGAGAGAGACCAGAGAGAGAGACCAGAGTGAGACCAGAGAGAGACCAGAGAGAGAGACCAGAGAGGGACCAGAGAGAGACCAGAGAGAGAGACCAGAGAGAGACCAGAGAGAGAGACCAGAGAGAGACCAGAGAGAGAGACCAGAGAGAGACCAGAGAGAGACCAGAGAGAGAGAGCAGAGAGAGACCACAGAGAGACCAGAGAGAGACCAGAGAGAGAGAGACCAGAGAGAGACCAGAGAGAGACCAGAGAGAGAGACCAGAGAGAGACCAGAGAGAGACCAGAGAGAGAGACCAGAGAGAGACCAGAGAGAGACCAGAGAGAGAGACCAGAGAGAGACCACAGAGAGACCAGAGAGAGACCAGAGAGAGAGAGACCAGAGAGAGACCAGAGAGAGACCAGAGAGAGAGACCAGAGAGAGACCAGAGAGAGACCAGAGAGAGACCAGAGAGAGTCCTTTGAACCAATCATGTGGTGCACCCAAGCCACAAAAGTGTTCTTC